TCTTCCACAACAATAGTATTAATCTGAGAATGAATTTTCCCTAATTTTAAGTATCTGTATATTGCACAGATTTTTTTCCTTGCATTGTGTATTTTTAAAATTTTACTGATGTACTGCGCTTTTGTCTCTTATAATTAAAAACTGTAGAGTCATTAGGTATTTTTGATCTGGGAAACATGAAAAATAATCAGTGCCCTCGCCAGGACCTTTCGAATACGCGCCGAGGGTGCTAACCTTTATACCACGAAGGCATGCTGGAAGAGAGAAAAAAATACCTTATATACTTTCTCGACAAATCTTCATCCACTACCTAATCTTAACCCTTAGCGCTCCGCTACGGAGCCGTCCGTCATTTGTTCCGTAACTTCGTAGGCTCCGCTGCGGAGCCCAATGTTTTTAGCATGATTAGGCTTAAGATGTTACGGAATCGTCGGCGTTGGCAATTGTTATCTGTAGTTAAAACGTGCTCAGTCTCGCTACTGTTACGATTGAAACATTATTTGACCCATTTTATGGTTAGCAACATGGAGAAAAATAATTATTGTGATGAGAATATAGAGTTGAGTGATAGTGAAGATGTGTTTGATTTTTCATTGTTAGAAGATATTGTGGAAGACAATGTTGATTATAATTCTGACACTTCAAGTAGTGGTTCCGAAATTATATTACCAAAGAGACGACGAATGGTAGTTATTGAAAGAAAAAGCGAAGAGTCGCCGGAAGACTTAGATGAATGGCGCTATGTAAGGAAAGAATTAGATATTCCAGATAGAATACATTTTAGTGTATCGCCAAAGGTCATTGGACCACAAATTCCTACAAATATTGTACAGCCGACACAATATTTCAAATTATTTTTCACAAACGAACTGGTAAATGAAGTATAAAAGAAACCAACAATTACGCAGAAAATGTTCTAAAGAATAAAGAAATATCTAGTAATTCTACTTGGAAAACGTGGCGTGCGGTGGAAGAGGATGAGTTTTGGGCTTTTATTGGAGTTATTATCAATATGGGTACGATACTCCTGGCGAATATGCAGGACTATTGGTCAGTTAAGGAGAAGAGTCACATCCCTTTCTTTAGTAAAATATTTACAAGAAAGAGATTTATGCAGATATTCTGGATGCTGCAATCCGCTGCGAAAATGTGCCGGTGTTGCTGGTAGGCAGTGGTACAAAAACGTGCGGAGCGCTAAGGGTTAAACCATATGTATAGTAACTGCAATGTGCACCTAAAGTTTAGCAAGAGTATACCATAATCATGCAGTAAGAGCATGTGATGTACTGGCCACACAGTGGTAATTTAGTGCCTATATGTATATAAGCTATGTCTTATGTATTAAATATTATTGCAGTATCTATGAATGTACCATACGCCATCTAATAAAATGAATAGTTTATCAATTCTGACAAACGTATATCTAACGTAATGTGTTTAGCGCATCTTTCTAACGTAATGTGTATAGCGCATCTAATGGCCTAATACATGAATGATAATAATGAATCTTATAATGAGTCTTTATTGTCAAATAAATGTAAATCTAATGTGAACTGCACACCTAATAGCATTATAAACGAGCATCTCATGTAATCTGAATGCCATTCTTCTGTAACACAAAATGGATTGTATATGTGTACATAAATTCAGAATACTCAGCATATCTACTGTAATGTATAAAAGGATATTAATAGTAGTGCTGGGGCCCGGCATGGCAGCGAACCCCTTCGGATGCTCTGGATAATGGTGGACGTGGTGCTGTACTGATTAACCACTATGGTAAAGTAACAGTGCCCACGTCCTCCGTCACTCACTCACTCACTACCTTTTAGTTCGGGCCCCACTACAAAGTCTGGTTCTCTTAGGGAGCATTCACTATAGATTTAAAATACCTGTTGAAGAGTTAGCTGCTAGGCTTGTGAAACAAAACACAAATCGGAAGAAATGTGTTTAAGACCCTTTAATTCGGACACAAAATTAAGCGTTACTCAACTTAGGTTTACACAAGCCAAGCACTTCTAGCTTAATCGAAATACGTAACCTTGATCAAATTCAAAATGTGGCAGGACTAATAATCTATTATATGCTGCATGTAAATTATCTGTAAATTTATTTTGCTTCAATACTGGTTTTTAAAAACCTGGAAAAAAAAAAAGCTCTTCGAGTTTTTTATTATTTTGAGTTTGCAAGTTTCGTGTCCGAGCAAAACAGAAAATATTGCCACTTGAGAAAAATATTTGTTGCTGTTCTCGTGCACAAACGATTCAATGAGATAATTGCACGGCTAAGATCCTTACGAATTTTGTCTTTTCTTTATTGGTTAAGTGCAAACTTCAGGCGGTGTTAATTTACGATGAAAAAACAATATAGCATATTTTTATCTCTATCTTTCTACTTTTCGAATTTAAATAACTTGTTTCCAGTTCAAGTTTTTATATTCTTTTTTTTTAATTTATAGGCAACTAATTCTTAAGCTGTCGTACTGCTTTAAAATCGGTGTAAGTATTAAACTGAAATCTGCATACCAAAATTAGATTTTAGTTTCTTTTTATCTTACGCCTTTTTATCTTTTTAAAGTTTTTTCAACTTTTTGAAACAGTAATAACCTTCAATGAAATTAAACTCTTCGAGGTGTTAGAACGTAATATGAAATTTTCAGAGTGTCATTCTCCTCCTCCAATATTAAATCATTTTTAGTGGAATGATAAGATAATTGTTTTAACCCATGTTGTAGGATAATAGTTTGTATCGAGAAACGAGAATCCAGGCATTTCTGTAATCTTTTCGATATTGAAAATCATAACTTATTGCTGCTATCCTCGTCCCATAATAAATCTTATCCTTCTCGATAAAGTAACAGCAGCCAACAAAGATTTGTTTCCATTTTCCATCGAAACTTTCCCCTGTCGACGCTCTTAGAATTATTTTTATGTCCAGTTGGTGGCAATGTGTCACGGAAAATTTGATATTATGCTCTCCATATTCTCTTCTCAGCCATTCTTTTTTTACACAGCCATGCCGAGGATCGTAAGGTAGATTTAACTATGCATCAAAAAAAGAGGGACGAGATGTCTCTATACTCTCGCCCAACCGTCGCGACACAATATTTCCACAAACAATATATTTTTTGTTGGATTGTTTGTTCCCGTCCGCCTTCCTGTCGCCAGAAACCATTTCCGTATCTTCGTGGCAATGGAGAGTTGGTATTAGTCTTCCGAAGGCTCGGTCGGTGTTGACCGGAAATATTTTACCCTTCGTCAAATAGAATGTTATTGCTAGGAAAATAATAGAAGGGAAAGGTTCTAGTTAATTAAATTGAATGTGATTGGTAGGCTCAATTGGATTGACTTCTGGGATATTCGCGTTTCTCTTATTAACACTTTCGTTTCATTTTGGTATCTTCACTAGATCTGTTTAAGTATTATATACAGGAATGCAACAAATTTGAATTGTTAGAAACAAATATGCTTGAACATATGTTTCGTTTTCTAGAGGCTGTGCCACAAGTGACACTCCGAGTTACACCTTAGAATTTGAGGCTCTTATCGGGAAGGCGAATTCTCTTTAACTGCCGCTTTTCCAACTACAAGAGTACAGATTTCTTCGATAAATTCATCGTCGTTGATTGTTTCCCCATAATGAAAAGAATCCTGTGTTTAATTACTGAACATTAGACTGCATAGAAATATGTCACTTTCGATGAATAATTAAATTTCATTGCTTTTAAATACATATCTGCTGAGATTCCTTAGAATAGGCATTAAAATTACGTTATTCCTTATAAATTATTGCTGGACTAGCGAGCTGCGGTCAAAGTAAATTTTATGATTTTACGAGGTACTTCCTCTCTTCTTTCTGCGTGCCTTCGTGGTGTAACGTTGTAGAGACATTAGGTTATTTCGAAGTAGGAGACATGAAAAATAAGCAATGCCCTCGCCGGGACTGGAACCACGGAACTCTCGAATACGCGCCGAGCGTACTGGTCGCTAAACCACGAAGGCATGCGAAGAAGAAATACCTTATATACTCCCCCTTTTAAAAGGCGAATGGGGATTAGGGGACCCAATTGCCAAATCCTGGTGGTGAAAAATCATCATCCACCACCTCTCTCTTTTTTTTTTTTTTTTTTTTTTTTTTTTTTTTGTTAGTTTTAGTTTGGCCGCCACTGTATAGAGACATTAGGTTGCTTCAAGTAGGAGACATGAAAAATGAACAATGCCCTCGCCGGGACTCGAACCACGGAACTCTTGAATACGCGCCGAGCGTGCTGACCACTACACCACGAAGGCATGCGAAAAAGGCGGTAGAAATACCTTATAACTGTAGCACTGTCGGCGCCTATTCGAGAGGTTCGTCCGATTCCCGGCGAGGACATTGCATATTTTTCATGTCTTCTCCTTAAAAATAACCTGATATCTCTACAGAGGAGGCCGAACTAAAAAAGTTGTGAATGAGATTCTTCATCGCTCTGATTTGACGATCGGGGTAGCACACGCGGCTTGTATTCTAAAGGTCCAGGTTCGAGTCCTGGCGAGAGCATTGCTCATTTTTCATGTCTTCTGGTTCAAAATCACGTAATGTCTCTACAAGTTCTATGTATACTTTAAAAGAAATTGCATAAAAACATTTCAATATGAATGAATCGCTTCATTCTTTCCAAGCAACGACCGATTGGTAAATATTTTTTTTTTCTATTTATTTGTTCTACATTGCTGCAAGAAACATAAACCTGCGTACTTTGTTATTAGTAAACATGTCTGTGTGATTTTCCATCTTCTGATCGTATTTTTTCTTTGCTCAGTAGTTTAATTCGATGTTGTTTAAATGGAGTTTTGAAATTAGAATAAACTTCGCATCATCGGTGCAGGATATTTGTTGGATGGTTAATAATTGACTGCATGCATTTCATTCGCAGTAAACTTCATTAACTTATTTTCTAGGCTTTTGATGATTATGTTCTTTCAGTTCATATTTGTAATAAAGTGATATTATATTTTCAGGCTTTAAACACCCCTGGAGGTTTCCAGAATGCTGCCAGAGAACTCCTCGAATGGTGTGGAGACAGCAGGGCCTTCCAGAAAGCTTTCGAACAGTCCCTCATGGGATGCCTGACGGTAATGATGCTTCGAATATGAACTTAAATTTTTATGTTGCTTATATTTGCCTTAGGTTATTGAATAAATTGGAAATAACTGGTGCAGGAGATATTCTTTTGTATCAATTATTACTAATTTATCGTAACAGAAATAAATAATTTCATCGGACTTTCATTTCAGTTCAGTCTATAGATTCTGTACTCGCTATTTCATATTTATCTTTGATTTGTATTAAATTTTTACTATTTATATCTGCGCTCATAAAGTATAATTTTAATTAAAATGCTTCGAACTGAAGAATTTTGATAAAAGCATACAAATTGTTCTTCCTCCTCCCTAAGTGATAATAAGAAATTCTGTGATTTTCGACAGTGCTTTGCCTCGCAACTACGTTTCTAAGATATATGAGTACTGAAACCGTTAATAGATGAAATTTTTCAATAATCTGTAATTTAATTTGTTTATAAGGTATTTCTCCCGCCTTCTTAGCATGCCTTCTTGGTGTGGTGCACGCTGGCCGGGTATTCCAGAGGTCCGCGGTTCAATTCCAGGTGAGGGCATTGCTCATTTTTCATCACTCCTGCTTTAAAAATAATCTAATGTCTCTGCAGTGGCGCCCGAACTAAAAGGGTGGTGGATAATGACTCTCCACACCCAGGATTTGGCGATTGGGTCCCCTATAAACCTCAGTCGCCCTTTAAAAGGGGGAGGGGGAAGTATATAAGGTATTTCTCCCGCCTTCTTAGCATACCTTCGTAGTGTGGTGGTCTGCACGCTGGGCGCGTATTCCAGAAATCAGTGGTTCGATTCCCGGCGAGAGAGTTGCTCATTTTTTATCTGTCCTGCTTTCTAGCCTACCTGTGTTACCGGCAATTTATGAAACGGTGGCATTCTACAGCATCTATTCAGCTGCAAGATTTAACAATTCTTTGGCAGGTTTCGAATGAGGAAAAGGTTTGGACTTCTATAAAATTGAGTGAAAGTATATGAAAGCTATTTTCTGAAGCTTTATAAGGTATTTCTCCCGCCTTCTTAGGGTGCCTTCGTGGTGTAGTGGTTCTGCACTCTGGGCCGGTATTCCAGAGGTCCGTGGTTCGATTCCCGGCGAAGGCAATTGCTGATTTTTCATCTTGCCTGCTTCCAAAAATCCTAATGACTCTACACTGGCGCCCAAACTAAAAGAGTGGTGGATGATGATTCTCCACACTCCGGATTTGGAAATTGTGTCCTCTAAAACTCTCAGTTGCCCTTTAAAAGTGTGGAGTATATAAGGTATTTCTCCTGCCTTCCTACCATGCCTTCGTGGAGTGGTAGTCTGCAAGCTGGACGCGTATTCCAGACGTCCGTGGTTCGATTCCCGACGAAGGCTTTGCTCATTTTTCACATCTGTTGCTTCCAAAATACCTAATGTCTCTACAAACTTACTAAATATATCGATAATATATGTAAATATCTAATTTTATCATCGATTTCATCATAGTTTCTTACATGATTCGCGATTACCAAATGTAAGTTTTCATATTTTCTTCTTTTTTAACTTCAGTACGCCCTGTATTTATAATAGCTAGTAATAAACGTTGACAGGCTAAATCTTTTTCCAGTCAGTCAAACAAGAACCACATACTGGGATGGCTACAATTAAATAATGAATTTAGTACCTTATGAAAGCTTTCGTAATAATTTGTTGTTTTAGGAGATTTTTCGAAGGCTGCTTCATAATGATTCCACACTTCGATTGGAAACTGTGTGGTCTTCTAGAACTCTTTTCGCTCCAAACTTAAAAAAATACATTCAAACATCAATTTCTATAGATACACATTGAAAGTATGCAAATAAAAAACAAAAACTATTGGCAGTTACAGGAAACAAATTGTCGTACAGGAGGCCAGTGGTATAAAATATTACAGTACATGCAAAATTTTACAATAATTTACATTCTTTTATATACCGCTCCTGAAAAGGTTAATATGAGCATTTGTCCAATATTTTCTTCAAAGGCTCAAATAATTTTTCTTTAAAAAATTCAAGCAGGTGTACGATGTTCAAATCGATTAATTTATTGATTGATTAATGTAGGGATATTTCTACGTATTTTATTTATCAGTGGGCTTATTTCCATGTGAGCACATATGTGAGCGGTTTTTCCAAAAATATACATAATGTCTCTACAAGTTTTCATTTAAAATAGGTTTCGACGAAATTGTTAGATTTTGTTTCAAACGAAGTGTAAAATCTTTATCATTTCCATAAAACATAATTTCATACGTTTTTTCAATCATCATGGTACATCATTTGTATATCTATACTATTAAAATCTATGCGCGTCTTTCAGTCTGTACGTTGTTTATTTGTGACATCATCTGCTCCGGAACGCCGGGGAGTTTCGAGAGAGGTAACTGCCCCGGATTCCAAAAATTCGCAGGAAGCCATTTCGGCCATTATTATCTTCGTACGACTTTAATCAGCCTAGATATTAATTAAAAACTCTGATCATTTTCTCACTCATTTTTCCGAGTGGCAACAGTCTTGCGCGCTGGAGATAAAAATTCTTTATTTCGAAAAGTGTTGTCGCTTTCAAATCGTTGAGGCTATTAGTCAAAAATTTGTAAGTTTTACAAAATGTGAAATAAAAATAGCATTTTCAAAGATTAAACACTTTATTATATAATATCATAATCTGACCGCGCAGAAAGCAAGCGATTGCATGTGACGTCATTGTAGGTCAAAAATGTTTCGTTAATTTCGGGATTTTAAATAAATAGCTGCTGTTATCTATTTTTTTTGTTTCGGGTTAGGGTAAATGACACAATACGTTATTTCCACGTTAATTAATTTATTAATATCGAGGAAAAGTTACATTACATTAAATTTGAATCATAACGTCTTACACATACGTGTTAACCTGAAGTGTTAAAAGTTTTCGTTTCCTGGTTTGGCAACAAAAAATTATTTACGAATTGGTTGCTGCTTGGAAAAAGTGAAATCATTTCAAATGTTTTCGTGCATTTTCTTTTGAATTAGTTCTCTTTCCGCGATTCCTCTTTCCGCGTTTTTAAAAATTCTTCCTGTTTCCGCGAAATCGGAGAGTACAGTACCCCTCCCACAGCTCCTCAGGAGATGTCACGATGAGTCATTAAGAAGAGCTGGGCAGTTTCTTTGTGAATAAGTTAGTCTTCGTTAGATTGAAAACGTGTCTTAGTTTAGGCTCCTCTTGATATCTTAAGTATCATTCCATTTGTAAATCTGCTACAGTATTGGTTGTTATTTTCACATCTTTTATTAATCACTATAAATGTTTTAGACATTATTAAAAAGGAAAAAAAAACTTTAGCCCTTTACAAAGGTTATCAGTATCGAATTCAGAATGAAAATAAAGAAAATTTAGTCTATTGGATTTGCATAAATGAAAGATTTAAAAGTTGCAAAAGCGCAATTAAGATCAAAGACGTCGTCGCTTTAGTGGAAAGAACACCGTTTTAAAACGAATATTTATTCTGAAAGATTTTATTATAACTCACCTTTATGCAGACTTTTTGAAGAAAATTGTTTTTTACTTTACGAAACGATCTTTTAGTTCATTGCCAAAATCATCGTAGAGTTTGAACATCTCTCTCTTCCCTTTTTAATACAATATTATCTTCATTCATGCAAAAATCTGAGATCGGAAATATTTTTCGATTATTCCTTTTAAAAATTCTTCTTTTAATTTTTTTTTCCCACCTTTCGGGAGAGGCCAAGGTCCGCTCGGACCCCCACTATGTAACCCCTTTAGGCAGGAGGTAATGAAGACTGATGATATCATCGAAACAGGAATGATTTTGACAACCGCGGAAACAAGAAAACACCTTTCTTTTAAGGTGTACATAGAACTTATAAATTTTACTTTGGCAGCAGCCCACTAGCTTTTAAATAACATTTGAAATAAAAATACATTTTTCTACTTTTTTACCATAACTTACAAATTTTCTTTTTGTGATTCATTTAAATACTTTTTAATTTTTGCCATTATCTATAAATGGCCTTTAAACCTTAGGAGTACTGTAACTGAATTTTTTTGATTTTTTATCTTCTACATATTTCAGTTTTCTTCAAATTTCTTTGCACATAACTTCCCTGCCTCAGTTATGTTGCTGTAAAATTTATCCTGCTTACAAAGAATCTTTTTTTGAGGGAACTGTGTGCGTTCTGAAACCTAGAGTTGTGATACGAGCGTTTATTTAGGTTCTGGAAGTTCACATTAGGTCAAACGGAGCAACAGACGGAACAGTCACGCTTCACATTTAGAAGCAGATACACTGATGTCTGGAGTTTACCAAAGAGAAAGTGAAGCCTCTGGAACGTGATTTTGGACATCAGCCAAAACAGGACCAAAAAGGGAAAAAAAAAAAAAAAAAGAAAAACTCAAAAGAAAGGGGAGAGAAAGAAATCTTACGGGAGGCGGTGTCCTTGGAATGAAATGTTTTCACCAATATGCGCGTTTGCATAACCTTTCGTGGAATAATTTAAAATTATTTATTTAGCATCATAAACAAATTTTGTTCTGTTGACATGCATATATAGAATTAAAATGATATTTTATGAAACATTTCGCAGAGAAACTATCGATTTACCTGTGTTTCGTAAAATTTATCATTAAAAGAAGTTTAGCGTAAATCTATTTATAATCTGCTGTAACTGACATGTTCGGAGAAGGTGTCTTCACTGTGTAAGAGTATAAGGAACGACGCTACAGTTTATTATTCTTTCCTATATACTTATATTTTCTCCCTCTTAACCAGTTAACTGTGGGGCCCTCGTTTAAGAGTGCGCACCGTTTTGCGTCGCCAGAATCGAGCCGTGACGAGTATATTCGTCCATCACAGAGTAAGTTGCGCTGGTAAGATATTGGATAAAAAAGATGGATTTATTTTATAAAACTGAAAATTTTATTACTAATATTGACTTATTTGGTTAACATAAGCATATATTGCATACATATTAAACTAAAAATGCAATCAATTAAATCAAATATTATACAT